CAAGAGTAGGAATATTCTCGCACAGTATTGCAGAAAAACATCCTTTCTATGATCAAAAATTACACTAGAATGTTACTATTCTTAAGTAGTCGTAGAGAAAAAAAGTTCTCGCCCACTATAAGAGAGTAAGAAATTGACACGATTTCAGATTTCTAAAATGTGCCTATTAAAAGTAAAGAATCCAAAAATTAAAACGGCAACGGATTTTCATATTTGATACCTAAAAGATCATCCTCAATTTTTTTTATCAAAATAAAAAATCAAGCAGCGCACCCCATTCGGTGTTTTTATTTGGAATGACTCAGTTTTAAATCTTACCCATATATGGGTAATAATCTGTCAAGAATAATAAAGAGGCATCAAAATGCATTTTTAAAACGTTACAAATTGGGTTTTTGCCGCGTAAATTTAGCAAAACATTTTACATATCGTCACCTGAGAATTATAGTGTTCTATCTGCATTTTCTTTTTTTTTATTCAGGTTAGTCTTGTTTTAAGTATTAAAGATGGATATTGTTCTATCTATATATAATTGGGGTAGAAATTGTACAGTTTAAGCCTTAAACTTTACAATTTCTACCCCAATTATATATAGATAGATCAATATCATCTTTAAGACTTAAAACAAGACTAACCTGAATAAAAAAAAGAAAATGCTAATAGAAATACATATTTATTTTTCGAAATGTGTCATTTCTGGATGCAACAAAATTTAATTTTTAAATGAAATAAATATTCTTGCTTAGGTCATTAAAATAGGAATACTTGTAGAGTGCGTTAAACAATAATTGCAAATTACAATCATAAAAATCATAAAATTATATGACCAGCACATTTATACATTAGTCTGAAACGAATCCATATGAAATGGAATTTTCCCGACTTAATATATCAGGCTTCATTGTCAATTAAGCAGGAAAGCTGTTTATGATACACACATTAAATTGCGCTCAGCAGCTGAAAACATAATGTTGCCAACATTAAAACTTTCAGAGAGCTTGGGATGATCAGCAGGAAAGTAGGCAACATCAACACACGACGCGGCGGCAAAGTTTTATCAGCGCTGGGCGCGCATGCGCGGCGTCAGGAAAACACGCCGAGCTTTTATTCAGTCAATGAAAACTGTTGCGAGCAGGGGGGTATAAGGGGAATTTGACAACAGGCAACAGTAAAATAAATCTAGCATGCGTTGAAACCCAAGTTGTTTTTGACAAACCCCAGTTATTAACCACGTGATTCTTACTTTGTTGTGATCATAGACTCTATGGTTGTGATTGGTCTTTTCCAACTTGTTCGTTGATGGTCGCGGTTTGAGAAATTAAAAATGGCCGACAGTGTTGTGTACGAAGTTTTATAATCCAAATTTTCTTTGTTTTAGGTAAGTAAACTTGTTAATTTCGGCTTTAACATTTTATTAGGTGTTTTTAGTCAAGTTTGAGTTAGTTGTAGCATCATTACCGCGTTTAAAATAAGAAAATACGTGTAATAAACCGTACCGGTTTTTTTCTCTATGTTTACCGAAAACACATGTAGTTAATAAAATTCTTTTTATGTAATAAAACCTATGGCAAAGAGTAAAGACTCTTACTCTTTGCTTATGGGTTGTTTAACTAATGCAAGTTTTGATAGAATTTAAATAGTTTTAAAGCGTTTTGATTCAAAACTTTCAATCAAAACAGTTTTTAACGTTTTTTTTCTCGACACTAGTTGCTGTTATATAAAATATTAAATATACCTATAATCTTTGTCAAAATGTATGTTTTTGTTAAAATTATTTGATGTAGCTACGCGAAAACTGGACCTGGGTCCAGGGCCCCACTACATTGGCATTTGGTGGAGCGGAGGTTATTGAACGAACAGCCCCCTCATCGGTGGATCGGACGTAAAGGGCCCAACAATTTGGAACTTCATGTATGGTCAACACGTTCAACCGATATCACAGTGTGCGACTTCTTTCTCTGGGGCTTTATAAAAGATAACATTTATGAGCCCCAAGATTTGTAAAAGCTAAATACACGAATTGGAACTCGGCAGTATCTACAAGATGTTTGCAGCTGGAAGAGGTCATTTTAAAAACTTGTAAGCATACAGTTCAAAACTTGATTATATTACAAATGTTTTGTGCTTTCTATGTTTTTTTTTACATAAATATAGCATTTTTAACTACAGGGTGATAATCTTTTACAGTATTTTTATAGTTATTTTATTTGAAGGGGTCAATGCAAGAAGTGTCTGAGTCACATTTTCAATTAAATTGTTATTGTGGCTTCATCCAAGAGTTTTCACATAAGTTAAAAACCAGACAAACTCCCATTGAAGTAAATGCAAACTAAGGCACTTGGGCACATATTTCTGCCACTTTGAAAATACCACCTGAAACCTTACATGAAACACTCTTAGATGAAGCCAAAATGTAAATTTAATTGAAAATGCGACTTAGGCACTTAAGTGCAAGAATTCTTGCATTGACCCCTTCATTTGTTCTATCTGAAAGTCTGACATTTTTAATGTACATAAATAACTAGACAATTCATAACTTATGAATCATAAGCAAACCTTTTAAAGAATTATTTTTAAAGTTTTTAATTCAATTATTTTTTGCTACAATATAAATTGATTTTAATTTAATATAATTAATTTTAGCTTCTGCAATAATGGAACAATTAGACAAGATTTATCCTGCATGAAGAAAAAGAATGAAAGCTTTACTCGTCAATCCCAAACAGAAATATTTGACCAAATTTTTTTAATAATAGGTAGATATATTTTTTTTATTTAGAATACATTTTTAGTTACAATTGGTGGTGTGTGAATATTTTTACCAAATAAATTAAGTAGTAATATTTAATTCAAACTTAAAATTAAATATTTAAACTAGTAAATAGTTTGAATTATTTGAATAGTTCAATAATTACAATCATAATCTATTCAAATAAGTTAATTAAGGGTTAATGACAAGTAAATAACATTCTTTTTATTTTAAAATAAATTTTAAATTACAATTTAAATGTTCCATTTCTTCAATTACTATTGAAAAATTTTAACTTTCTAATTGAACCATTTAAAAATTTGAAACATTCAAACTATTCAAATAATTCTTGAATTCAATATTCACACATCCATAGTTACAATCCAAATATAAAAAAAAGTAAAAGCCTGACCATTAAAGAAAGTACACTTTTAGAATTTACTCCAAATATAATTAAATTGTTTATTGTTAAAACAAGCAATCTGACATTTTTATATTACATACACTTCTGCTTTAAATTATTATTTTGAGGCAGAAATATTTTATTTAGGATTTTTATTAGGATATTAAAAAAGGATATTTTCATGTTAAAACAGCACAAGATTTTTAAATTAAAAAATAAACAAAATTATATTTAGTTAGTTACTTAGCTTGTTTTTACAATAAACCATTCAATTATTCTTATGCTGGTAAAACAATTACATTTAGCATAAATAAGTAGCATAAATATTGATACATTATTTTTATTTTATTTTAAAAATTATTAGGTAATATTAATTGTTTTACAATTTAAATTGATTTTAAAATTGGTATTGATTTCAGGTTTGGGTTTGTGTTAATGGAAGAAGCAGACAGGACTTGAATTTATCAAACTTCTTTGCAAAAGAACATAGAAAATATTAATTGCAGTTGAATATTCTTCATTGAATCAAGAAAAAGACGCAGGTTCAATCCATGAATCATGAACAAGAAAAAAGACAATTAATACTTAATATTGACCAGAAAGTTAAATCATACATAAAGATTTTAATTTTGCCAAATACATAATAACAATATTTTTAACATTGAGATTTAAGTGGTTCTATTGATTATTAATTTTAATTAAACCAATTTTACTAAAAATTAAATATTCCAAAGAATGTAATTTAATTTTTGGATAAGTAGGAATTCCTTTTTGCCAAAAATTCTATATTTTACAAAACTACAGTATTGTGCTTATTTTAAAAACAAATTATAATTCCTAAAAATTATAAGAGTATGGTTTGTAATAAGTCTAATTATGGCATTCAACATTTTAGGCATAAGCCTTTTGGTTTATTCCAATAAAGAAATTTGGAAATACCTATAGGTATACAATAAGTCAGTATGTATTACAAAATTATTTATTTTTATGAATTACATATTCAAAGTTAAAATAATTTTAATTATATAATATACTCGAACTGTTTTAAAAGGTTGTTTTCTAATAAGGACCAATAAGTATTGAACTATTGTTTATCAAGAATATTTTGATGGTTTGTAATATGTTTTAGAGTTAATTTGGTTATAAACCTTTGCATTTTTATTAAGAAATCTTAAAAAACCTATAAAAATTGTTATTATGTGACACAAAATTAAAATTTCTGAACATTATCGCTGTAATCAAGTGATAATTGTCTTGTAGGCATATATAAGAGGGTAATTATCAATTTAATGTCATACTTTTTGATAAATTATACCTAAATAATTATAAATTATTATACATGTTTGATAAACCTTTTTTTAAATATCACTAAAAGTTATAGAATAATTAACTTTGAATTTCTCCTCATTTAAATATTATTTGTTAGTTATACTTTAATTTAAAATTGAATTAAGTGTATATTTTGTTAAATATATTTATTAAAAAAAACAAAAATGTGTGTTTTTCCACTTAATTAGTGGAAAATAACCGAAAATTGTCGAAATTTTACATTTTTTGATTTTTAATGGACAATATTACGTATATAATCCTTTTAAAATCAAAAAAATATAAAATTTAAACAATTTTCGGTTATATTTCCTTGTTTTAAATAAAAATTCAAATAGCCAATCATTCAAATTTCCCGCCGAAAAAAACAACTCGGTTTTCCAAGGCTGCTAGATTTAAAAATCAACCAATGCTTGTTGCCACTTTTGACTACGGCGCTTTTAATTCTCTTATGTTCTGTGGTTGCGAGCGTTGCGAAGTTTCGGGGTCCGAGATCAGTGACGTAGGCAGTGCGCCCATCGCATGCTGGGTTTTCTATCGATTACTTGCGAAAATGGCAGACAAGTGGAAACATATGGAGTGAAAGGCCAGGAATTTTGCAATATGAAACTCGCCTTTCTATGCATTGTCATATTTATATCATGTAGTGTCAGTGTGCAAGCCTACCCGCAGTTTTACACTGGTGAGTGCACGAACGTTTTAACCTACGATTTAGATGGGGTTTTTGTGTTTGAAATACCGCCAAAACTGTGTATGTTCAATCATAATTATCTTATAATTAAAGTTCAAACATTCATAGGTATTTGTTTTACTTATATTTGATTAATATTTTTTGTTTTTGCCGTTTGACATTTATAAATAATAATATAATAACAACATTGACATTTAGATTTTACAACACAGTTGCAATATTATATATAAAATTAAAACTACAATTAGTATTGTTTGTAACTACATTTTTTTAAAGATAAACCTAAATGTTGATAAAATATACCACACAATATGCTAGTAAATATGTTAAATATATTGACTGAATCCCATACTTAAAAATATAAAAACAACACCAAGTACCCAATTACAATTAATAATAATTTTATACACAAAATTAAGGATTTTAATTAAAATTAAAGATATTTCCTATTTTTTGGTTTTTCAGCAACCCTAGGGTTTTTAAGATTCTTAAGATTAACCTTTTTAAATTTTTATATGTAGGTACCAAAATTTTGTGATTTTACAGTATTTTTAATTATTTAAGGCAATTCTTTAGATTTTTTTATTTTTTTTTATTTTGAATTTTAGCCATTAAACTTTCTTTGCGGACAACAAATTTGAATTATAATACATATTTTATTTACCAACTTGTGCTTAAATTAATGAGTGTACAGAAAAGTTTATAAACGAGGTGCATACTATACTTTTTTTACGACAAATACTTATTTTTATGATAAAATGATTTAAATAAAAAAATTGTATAGAGCGCAATCTATGAAACAATAGGGGAATCTGTGTGTCACCGTCAAATGTCACATTTTTATTTTTATAAACACAGATTACCTATAAAGGTTATAAATTGAAATGTATTTCTTGAAAATGGACAGTTTTCAAAGTGAAAGTAAAGAAAATGTTTTATGAGGACTTTTTTTTTGTATTGAGATAATAAAATAATTTTCACATTTAGCATTATTTTACAAGAAAGGCACTTTATTTTAACGATTGTATGACATTTGACAACTGTCAATTAACTTAAAACTAACTTTAGCCCGTGACTAAAAACCTGTTGCTAACTTTAGCCCGTGACTAAAGCGCTATAAAGCCACAACTTGTCAATGTGTATTTAAAAGGTCACTTAGTGTCATGGAAACATGTACGATAAAGGGCGTTTTAAAGGTGGGAGTAGAAAAATTCATTTTTATTTAGGACACTTTAAATAATTTTTGGTATTTTAAATTCCAATGATTATTAATGATATACGTTCGTTTTTAATCGTACAGTGTTTTCTTAAAAATAAAATCTTTATAAATATATTAAAAAATAAAAAACAAAAAAGCATCGGTAAATTTAATAGAACCATATTGACATTGTTTTTTCAATAAAATTTGAATTATAATACATACCTATTTTATTTACCAACTTGGTTTTTGTGTTCGCAGCGGCCCCTAAATTTTTAGTTTATGACCTAAAAAAAAGTTATTAAAAAAAATTCATATCAAACCTTGCCACAATGACGATACATTTTCCATTTAAATAACATGGGGTTTCGGCAATTTTTACATTTATTTTTGTTTCCCCCGAGCAAGTTAATATACAGCAATAAGTGATACATATTTTTATAGGAAATTGAACGATGTACAAAAAAGCTTTCTTATGATTTTTCGATAAATTCACTGGTTTAAAAGTTATTTAAGGTTAAATTGAACTTATAATAATATAATTATTTTGATTGTTTTACTTACTTTGACAGCAAAATTATCATTATTTTTATGAAAACGAATTGTTTATTTTTGAAAATATGTGATTTTATTGTATTATTGAAAAAATAAAAATTATTGAAAAGAGATACCTAAGTGAAAATTATTGACAAGAGATTCCTATAAATAATTTTTTTTTATTACAATAAACGAATCTGGTACTATATACTATATAGTTTTACTCAATTTTAGTACGATTACTTTTTTACATAATGTTTTTATTTCTGTGAAATTCTACAAAATTTTATACGATTTTATAAAATATTATACAATAAAAAGTTTTCCTTCAGTACAGCTAATGAAATTATTCTTTTAACAATTATTTTTAGGACAAAATAAAATTCTTAGTTACATGTTGTGTTGAGTATGAGTTGCAGACAGACTTTTGGTCATTTTAGTCACGGGCTGAAATTAGCTTTATTATATAATAAAGAAAAGTGAGGTTAATTCCGTTGACATTTGACAAATATAATTGGCTTTAAATTCTTCTTTGTGTTCGTCGTAGATAAAGTATAGGTACTTAGTATGCAACTCGTTTTATAAACTTATCTAAACACTCGTTTTTAATAAGCTTCGCTCGTGCCTAATAAAACACGTAACTAAAATGGTGTTTATAAAACTTGATATATAATACCGATACTATTATATAAAAGATGCCACAGACTATGGTCAAAGTACTAAATCATACTTCAGTGCGCATGCGTAATACAAATTTTATTTTTTCGTAAAAATAATTGTTAAAAGAATTTCTACGTCATTAGCTACAGCTGAAATTTTTCATTGTATAATATTTTATAAAATCGTAGGAAATTTTGTAAAATTTCACAGAAATAAAAATATTATGTAAAAAAAGTAATCGTTCTAAAATTGAGTAAAACTAATACCAGATTCTTTTAATGCAATACAAAAATTTTAATTTATCGGAATCTCTTGTCAATAATTTTTACTTTTTCAATATTACAATAAAATCACATATTTTCAAAAATGAACAATTCATTTTCATAAAAATAATGATAGTTTTGCAGTCAAAGTAAAAAAACCAAAAAATTAATATATGTTCAATTTTAACCTTAAATAACTTTTAAACCAGTAAATTTATGAAAAAATCATAGGAAAGCTTTTTTGTACAGCGTTCAATTTCCTATAAAAATATGTATTACTTGTTATTTAAATGAAAAATGCACTTAAAATAATCTCCACTTGGGAGTTTAGTTTACCGAAGCGTTTATAGAATCCATTAGAAAAAGGCTTTAAACAGATTTTTACTTTTATTTTACTTAATATTGAAACAATAAATTCAAATAGTAAATACCACTTATCTCTACATTTTTGTCATGCAAGCTGATGAATATTTATTAGGTTTACAAACACACTTTTAAAAATACAAATTTAATTTTTCTGGCCTTTGCTTTAAAATCGATAAAGCAAAGGTAATTTCAGGTCTACACTAATTAAAACCAATTTTACTTTGCCAAAAATATTTGGTTGTTTTTGGATTTTATAAATTTTATTGATTCAAATAAATTCTCTCTTTGATTGAAATATCGTTTAACATTTTATAAACCCCATAGAAGTTAATTAAGCACGTAATTTTGTTCAGTAAAACTCAATTAAAAAATTAATATACATTTAACGTTATTGGCAAATTTAAAAGGCTTTTTTTATTTAATATTAATAACGCAGGTCTACAAATATAATATTTTCCCTGGGTCTTAAATTGGGACTAAAAAGAATGTCGACTATACGCTAAAGAAGCATCGCTAGTAGAGCCACCATCGTAACCAGAATTCAGCATTTAATAAGCCGCTGTCATAAATAATATTTAATAAGAGAGATTCTGCTTTGTTTAAATATTTCTTTGCCTCTAGCGCAATTTTCCTGTTGTGTATACTTGCAAATATTGCTCTAATTAATCTAAAATCCAATAGTTTATGGATTTAGTAGTTAAGATTTAACATGACCGTAGTTATTACATAGATATTAAAACTTTATGAAATATGACAAAAAATATAAAATATGTTGCTATTTTTAATTAAGCACGAGAGAGCTTGCGAGCGAGTATTTAATTAATTAATATTATTATGCTTAAACCATTAGCAAATTTCCATTTAACCGACTAAAATCCTTAAAGGAATAAAATTCCTCGAAAAGGATTTTACTTTTACTTCTCGGAAAACTTTCTTTTGAATTTGAAAAGCTTTTGTCGAGTGCAATGTGTTGCTAACGCAAGTACTTACTATTAACAGGGCTGTCCGCCTACACACAGCTTTAACGTTTTATATCTTTTAGCATTTCAGAAAATGTTTCGTTACTTTACAAACGTTGGAATAAGGATTTAAAAGTAAATAAAAATACCGCAAGTAAAATAAATTCTTTTCTAATGTATTTTTGCCTGCTAACTCAAAAGTCACATAAACAATTTTTTCTACTCCCACCTTTAAAACGCCCTTTATCGTACATGTTTCCATGACCCTAAGTGACCTTTTAAATACACATTGACAAGTTGCGGCTTTATGGCGCTTTAGTCACGGGCTGAAGTTAGCAACAGGTTTTTAGTCACGGGCTGAAGTTAGTTTTAAGTTAGTTGACAGTTGTCAAATGTCATACAATCGTTAAAATAAATTGCCTTTCTTGTAAAATAATAAGTACTAAATGGGAACATTATTTTATTATCTCAATACAAAAATACAAAAGTATTAAATAGTTTCTCAACGCCAATATTTGAAAAGTTTATATGAACATTTTACTGACCTTTTAATTTCGCCGGCAGTAAACTATAACTTAAATTCGGGCACGGACTTCACTGTAAAGTGCTCATAAAACATTTTCTTTACTTTCACTGTGAAAAACTGTCAATTTTCAAGAAATACATTTCGATTGATAACCTTTATAATCTGTGTTTATAAAATACAAAAATTTGACATTTGACGCTGACACACAGATTCCCCTAATGTTTCATAGATGGCGCTCTATACAAATTTTTGATTTAAATCATTTTAAGATAATAATAAGTATTTGTCGTAGAAAAAGTATAGTATGCACCTCGTTTTTTTTTTCTATAAACTCATTAATTTTAATTAAATTAAATTCTTGTATAAAATGGCGTTTATCAAACTTGATACATAATAATATATTATTAAATTCCAATGATTATTAATGATATACGTTCGATTTTTTTTAATCGTACAGTGTTTTCTTAAAAATAAAATCTTTT